GGTCACGGGCAGGTAAAGCTACAAAGACTGAGACCATCGGGGGGGGGGGGGGGGGGGATGTGGAGAAGCCAGGACCAAGCTGGGGCTCCCTGCACCTGGGAAGGAAGTAGCAACAGAGCCCGAGGGAGGAGAACCAGGAGGCGGGGCCGGAAGTCACAGGGGACCAGACCCTGAGGTCAAACACCGCAGGCAGGTCTCCCAAGACCCACTGAGAACCAACGCCTGGATTCAGCACCTTGCAGGCTGCGGGTGCCGGGCACGAGAGCTGGGTGGGGGCTGCATGGGGACGTCTCTGCAGAAGCGGGTTTGTAGGCAACAGATGAGAGAAACTGAGGCCGCTGGCGGTGGCAGATCCTTTGAGTTTTGTTTTGCTCTAAAGGGAAGAACAGCGAGTGGTGGGAGCCGTACAGGGCGTCACGGTTTCAGCAGAGGAAGTGGAGTGTGGAGGTGGTGTACAGCGCCCTTGCCTGCCACCGGGTTGGGATGAAGACTGGGTCTCCATTAGGATGAGGGCCAGGGCCAGGTGCAGGGGGGAGGGGTGGGGAATGTTCTCTCTGAGAAAGAAATAAAGAAGGAAGCCAGGCTGTGGGTGAGAGTGAGGACCCACCTGGGCTGGAGGAGGCATCGCTGGGAGGAGAGGCGTGCGCCGAGCAGTGGCGCGAGGCCAGCTGGGTGGTGTGCTTCTCCATCACCTCTGTGCAGCACAGGTGCAGGCGCTGAGCTGATGGGGAGTTGAGGGATGCAGTCTCCAGAAACTTGGCTGTGCAGGGGCGGGGCTGGGGGAGAGGACAGGAGAGGAGAGGAGAGGAGAGGAGAGGAGAGGAGAGGAGAGGAGAGGAGAGGAGAGGAGAGAGAGAGAGAGAGAGAGAAAGTGGAATGAAGAAGAGGCAGGGAGGGCAGGAAGGAAGCCAGGTAGGGGAGCTGAGGGCAAGGGGCCAGGAGAAGGGGAGGATGTGAGGGTCAGGAGGGCAGCAGGGCACCGAGGCAGGGCAGCGATGGTGTTTGTGCCCGATGCTCCCTGGGTTGGGCGCAGAAGCAGAGAGGCAGCCATAGGAACTGCCAGGAAGAACCCACGCGGCTATCCCGGTACTCTCGGGAGGAGCTCAGCTCCTTGGAGGCCACTGCAGCCCTTCTCTCCAGAGCTGGGCACACCCACCCCCTCTCTGCCTTGCCAGCTCCTGACCAGGGAGGCAGCCCAAGTTCCAACTCCCGCCAGACAAGATTCTTGGGCAAGGGACCCCAGAGCCGCCCTGTGGGAGTAGGAGGTTGTGCTTGGGTGGATGTGACTTGACCCTCATTGGGGCGGGGGCGGGGGTGGAGCGTGGGGGAGGGGTCCAAGTTCAGCTGTTCATGGTGGCGGATTTGTGTCCTTTACTGAACAGCACGGCAGCCTCCTTCCCTGCACCCCTTCCTTTGTCCCCCTCACTTTCCTGTGTTCTTCCCTCCCCACCCCTTCCTCCCTTCCTTCCTCCGTCCTTTCCATAAACATGTGTTTGGAGCCCAGCACAACCTGTATGAGCGCCCCAGAAAAGTCACAGAGAGGGGGAGGTGGCAGCCCCCCTGCCCCTGCCCCGGGGGGGGGGCTCCTGGTGCTAACAGAATCCTGGCTGTGCCCAACCCGGGGCAGCAGGTGCTCAGGGGCTGTGGGGGGGGGGGAGCCCAGAGCAGGTGAAGCCCCCGGGAGCCCAGTTTGTCCTCCAGGATGCCCTGGCAGCAGGGGCTGTGTCTGCGCCCCAGTGCTGGAGCCCAGAGGGAATGGGTTGGGGGTTCAAGGCGTCTCCCTCCTAAGGGACCTAGAAGGGTGCTCCCAGCCCTCCCGCTTTGGAGGCGTCTTGCGGGATCCCAGGCTCCATCTGTGGCAGGCATCCCGGAACGTGCAGGGGAAGCCAGGCTACGGAGCGAAGAGCTCTCTGGGGGCCTAGTGTCACCAGCAGCGGAATTAACAACCCCGGATCCACCTTTCCGCAAATTCCTCTCCCCGAAACAACGAGCTGTGTCTACTGTTTGTGCTCCCTTTCGCTGGGCGTCTTAGTATTCTGTAACCAAGGGCTGCTGCTGCAAGGAAGAAATAAACACTGTGGGTTTTCCAGTACTTGCAGCTTTGCGCATCCTGGAAGCCAAAGCAAAAAGGGGAAGCAGATAAACCGCAAAGCTCTCGTTTTCAGGAAGCTTCAGGTTTTTATTGTTTGTTTGCTTTTGCCCCTAAATTCCCTGCTTGACACTAAATTCCATGTGGGAATTTATGAGGAAAACATTGATAGTTACAACTTCCAGGATAACTGTTTAGCAAGAGAAGCAGTTTTCACAGGCTTTTTTTTTTTAAGATTTTATTTATTTTTTAAATATTTATTTATTTGAAAGTCAGAGTTACACAGAGATAGGAGAGGCAGAGAGAGAGAGAGAGAGAGGTCTTCCATCTGCTGGTTCACTCCCCAGATGGCCACAACGGCCGGAGCTGCGCCGATTCGAAGCCAGGAGCCAGGAGCTTCTTCCAGGTCTCATGCGTGGGTGCAGGGGCCCAAGGACTTGGGCCATCTTCTACTGTGTTCCCAGGCCATAGCAGAGAGCTAGATAGGAAGAGGAGCAGCTGGGACTAGAACCGGTGCCCATATGGGATGCCGGTGCTTCAGGCCAGGGCTTTAACCCGCTGCGCCACAGCACTGGCCCCAAGATTTTATTTTTTTATTTTAAAGGCAGAAATACAGAGAGAAGGAAAGAGAGAGCGATAGAACGAGAGAGAGAGAGAGAGAGAGAGAGAGAGAGAGAGAGAATCTTCCATCTGTGGGTTCAGTCTCCAAATGGTCGCATCGGCTAGAGCTGGACTAATCAAAGCCAGGAGTCAGGAGCTTCTTCCGGGTCTCCCAGTGGCTCTAGGGCCCAGGCACTTGGGCCATCTTCTGCTGCTTTCCCAGGAGCAATAGCAGGGAGATATTTCGGCTCTCAGTTCTGCAGTCCAAGGCCAGGCGGCCTCCCTGGTCCAGCCTCTTGCTGGCTGAGAAAAGACAGGCAGCAGGCATGGGTGTTGTGTCTGTCGCTCTCCTTCTAAAGCTACCGGGATTCAGTGCTGCTGACTCCACACCAGGTACCTGCCCGAGTCCGATCTCTTTCTAAAGGGTCCATGGCCGAGAACCGCGGCTGGAGTCCCTCAGTCTAAGACCCTGGGGGCTAAGCTCCTACATGCTGAATGCTCAGGGGGCAAATCACATTCGAAGCAGAGGGGGATCTGGGTGGGGAGGGGGTGAAAAGGAGAGGAAAAGTGGGCCTGGCTGGGGTCCCCCCGGCTTGTAGAGTGCTGAGCCTGATAAGAGTTCTCTGGAACAGGAGGGTAAGGTGAGGGATGGGAAGGCAGAGCCTGTCTGTCCCCGGCCCTCCCTGTCTCGGGCCCACTTGCTGAGCAAGAGGTCTGTGTCAGCGTCTCCTGTCGCTGAGGTGTGTCTCGGGCCGTGGGTGGCACAGGCAGCCCTAAGGAGTGGCTCGCCAAGTTGCATCAGGTATGTCACCTTTGAGTGCTGGGCAGCCTGGAGCATCCAAGGTTCTCCGGATAGAAACATCATGTTTGAGAATGCAAACCAGCCAGGGGATTGCTTTAGAAAGAGGCTTTGCGTACCCGAAGAGTCACAACAGACTTTCATGGAAAGAAACAAACACACCAACTCTGCTCTCTCTTTTCTGTGGGATGTCAATGCAGCCACGAGGGGCACGGAGGCAAGTGCGTGGGACAGTGTTCAACAGGTGTCTTTATAGCAACCTGCCTGGGCGGCCGCCAGTTTCCATCAGATCTAAGACACCTTTGCCTGGACGACGCGTGCTTATTCTGGGTTTTACCAAGAGAAGCTTCCACGGTGGAAGGTGCCTGTCTCTAGAGCTGGAACAACGAGAGGCCACACCGTCTGTGTAGGAGAAAATGAAACATGAACCCAGGGCACAGACAGGGCCCACAGGAGCTGCCTGGTTCCTGCCTTGGCCCTCTTAGAGGGAGAGAGACATAGGGAGAAAGGCCCTGGACTGACCATGGGGCTGTAAGTTGGTTCCCAGTCTGGAGGGACACTACCCAGATGTCCCCAGGGGTACCAGGAGCTGGTGTCCCCCAGGCACCGGCAGATGCAACTACAAAGCCTCGCTGGAAGAACTTGGTTCAGTCCAGGCAGTGGTAAGTGCAAAGCAGCCATGGTGAGTTGCTTCCTGAGAGTTACTAGGGCAGCATGGAGGACAGACGCACACGCACGCACCCGTGAGCCCAGCAGACAGAGCACGCAGCTCTGCGCACCCCACCCCACCCCACCGGGGAGTGCTGATTCAGTGCAATGCACCAGGCAAGGGGGCAGCTACATTCCTGCCACGGTCAGCCAGAGCCTGACGCTGTACGTGTTCCGCTCTGGGATCCCAAAGGTGGTGCCCGTGGAACATTCTCCAAGGGACGCCACCCTGGCCTGCCAAACCCAGCACGATCTCAAAAATATAGTCTTCCCATCAAGTGGCTACTGCCTCCATGGAGGTAATCTCTGGATCAGAGTCTGTGTCAGTGCTGTCCTGGGCCCCAGCTGGGTCGCCCTAACTTGCTGTAAAGGAGCCAGCCATGGGCATGGCAACCACACACAGCTCAGTAACTTCTTCTTGGAGCCTCTTCCAGCTCCTTGTTGTCTGGGGAAGAAGTTAGCATAAATATTACCTTTCCTTATTCGTGTTCTCTACAATCTCTGAACCGGTAGCAGGTCTAGGGAGGCAGCAGGACCCCTCCCCAGAGCCGTGCGGCCCTCCAGGGCCATCCCGAGGGTGACAGGAGGACAAGCCACGTTTTATTGCAGGTCCTTTGTCAACGCACAGGGCTGCTGCTCCTGGGACCGAGCTACTCCTGTCACTGTAGGAATCAACTGGAAAGCCACAGGGGGCGATCCGGGTTAGGACATTTGTTCATTTTGGGATCCTGGTCTTCCCACAGCGCCGGGGCCCCGAGATGGCCCTAGCATTTCTATGACGAGTGCAAAGTTGAGCTTCAAAGGACCAGACTCCATAACACGATAAACTCAGATCCCTCCAAATGAAAACCCAGATGGGCTTTGGCCTCCTCTCGGCTCGGCAGGCTGATCCCTTAATCTTCCAGATGATGATGGAAAAACCCTTATCTCTGCCTGTCAAAGCCACCGTTGTTGTGGGGGTGTTCCCTGGGAAGCACGAGCGAGCCTTAATCACTTAGATGGTGTGCAGCGCGCATTATCTTGAAGCAGGCCTCACGTGGGGCCTTCAAAACACTCACGAAAATGCGCATTATGAAAAAGATCAGGCAGGGGTTTCAACAGAGTTTTGCACCACAGTCAACTGATCTTTTAATTCTGTTTGCCACAGACTTTCTGAAGTACCCCCTACTGGAAGGAGTACAAGACAGGATGAGTTCCAGGCACAGCGTGGCCAGCAGATGGGCAGGCGGCAGGACTCACCCCAGTGGATCACTGAAAGTGACAGTGGGTCCTTCCTCCCAGCGGAAGAGGAAGCTGGCCGGGCACTCCAGGCGACACCGGCAGATGGGTTGAAGGTTCTGGTACTTTTGCTCAACAGGTGTGGCACATTCCTCTGCAAGGCCGACCTGTTTGAGTTGGGGCCACGTGGCTCCCAGATGGGCAGGGACTGCAGGCATCCGGGCTGTATGTTGGACCACAGGGGTGCCTGCGCCCTGCAGGGGTGAGGGACCAGGGGGTAGACTCCGCTTGCCCAAGGGAGCCCTTGTGGAGGAGGGTTCATCTGGGTGGGGCCTCCCACCACACCCCCTGCTCCCCTACCTCCATTAGAATGACTCACACTTGCTGAAAAGATGAGTCATGTGGGTTACGAAACCCCAGGGCTCCTGAGAGGGAGGCTGGGAAGGGCCTCAGGAACCCTGGCTCTGCCGTCCCGTCCCATCCCCACCCCTGCTCCAGGCCCCTCACCTCCACCTGCCAAGCCGCACTATCCAGCGTGAATCCTTTTTCTTTTTAATTCATTTATTGATTGAAAGATAGTGGGGAGGAGGAATCTTCCATCTGTTGGTTTGCTCCCCCCAATGCCCACAGCAGCTGGGCTTGGGTCAGGCTGAAGTCAGGAGCGGAGAGGTCCACCCAAGTCTCCCTCGTGGGTGACAGGAATCCGCCTACTTGAGCCTTCCCGGGTGCACCTTAGCTGGAAGCAGGAAGTGGAAGCCGAGTGGGGACTCCAACCCAGGCTCTGATCTGGGACGCAGGACTCCCAAGCCGCAGCTTAACGGCCAGGCCAATGCCCACCCAGAGCAGTGCCTCTGCAAGCGCTCAGAACAAGTCTGCTCCTGGGTACGGAGCTTCCTTCGGCTTTCGGCTTTCGTAGTGCACTGAGGCTGGAGGCTCCCTTCCCGCACCGGGCCTGCTGGCAGCAGTAGGTCTGGGAGGGACAAGAGAAGAAAGCTAACTCTTGGGGTTCTCCGTCTCTCCATGGTGCGGGCTTCTTCACCACGGGGACGTTGCCACCGCTCTCCTGCGTGCACTCGGATAAATATCTACCAGATACCGGGCTGCTCCAGCCAGCAGGGGTAGCCACGAGGCAACTCCTTTCCCCAGCGCTTTGGGTGCGTGAACACCCAGCACGCGGCAGGCCTGGCCCCATCAAAACACTCCTTCACCGCCAGCGGCCTCTGACGTCATCCTGACGGCCTGTGGGGTATATGCCACCGTCACCCCCACTTTACAGGTGAAGCGCCCGCGCCCCACAAGGCCAGGCACTAGCCAGGATCACACAGCCGCCAAGGGGAGGGCCGGGGACTCCCGCACAGCCAGCTTCCCCAGGGACTCCCCACACCCAGGTAACCTGCCAGGTGCCTCCGCCCCAGTCCGCGGGGCGCCTTCCATCGGGTCGGCTACCGACGTGGGCAGGCCACTGGGCCTGGGAGCCCCACCAGGTGAGTGCGGCCTCCCAGGTGCCTTACCTGTGGGGTGGCGCCGACCTCTGGCATTTGCTCTGGGGAACGCGGGACGCACCTGAGATGCCCCCGGGGCCTTTGAGCTCCTGGCAGAACCCCCGGGGCTGTCCTGCGCCAGAAGGTCCCAGAAGTCGGCGGGGAGGCCACCCCGGCGGGGACCGTTCTGGGCCTCCCCCGCCGCGGTCGGCGCAGCCGGTACCCGGCGCACGAGCGCGGGCCCAGGGGCGCCGCCGGCCGCGCAGGCGGGAACGCGCCGCGGCCGCTTCCTCCTCCCTCGCTCCCGCCCGCGGCGGCGGCGCTTCCCGGCGCGGAGCGGCTTTAAAAGGCGGCTCCCCACCCCCCGGCGCACTCGCCGCCCGGGCGCCGCGCGAGCTGCCGCTGCCATGCCTCCGCGCGCGCCGCCTGCGCCCCGGCCCCGGCCGCCGCCCCGGGCCGCCGCCGCCGCCGCCGCCGCCGCGGGCGCACGGGGCGAGGGGGGCGCCGGCGGGCGCGGGTTCCGGCCACTCGCGCCGCGTCCCTGGCGCTGGCTGCTGCTGCTCGCGCTGCCCGCCGCCTGCTCCGCGCCGCCGCCGCCGCGCCCCGTCTACACCAACCACTGGGCAGTGCAAGTGCTGGGCGGCCCGGCCGCGGCGGACCGCGTGGCCGCGGCGCACGGCTACCTCAACTTGGGCCAGGTGAGTGCGGCCGGCCCCGCGCGCCGCAAACTTTCCCGGCGCCGGCGGGCACGCGCGTGGGAAGGCATCCGGGACGGCTCGGCCCGCACGTTCGGGGGCCCCCCGCGGGCGGTCGCTGGGGAGCGCGGGCTTTGGCGGGGCGACCTGGGGCCAGCGTGGGCGCCCACGCAGGCCTGGCGCGCGGGCCGCAGTCCCCGGGCAGGGCATTCGGGAGAGTGGCCGCGGAAGCAGGGGCAGGCGCGCACACCTGCCGGGCCGCGCGCGAGTGGGAGCGTCTCGGGCACGGCGGCTGCCCGAGGCTCGGTCCTTGGCGCACTCCCTGCGCCGCACCGCTCCCGGCCCCAGCCCCAACCCCGCCAACCCCTCTGTCCTCGACGGGCGGCGCGGGGCTCTGGGCCCCGTGTGCGCTCCGGCAGCCGCTCGCTCCGGGCGACGTGCGCGGGGCTCGGCCCCTGGGACGTCGGTGCTCCCGGCGCAGCGCAGGTCCCAGCAGCCGCCCCCTTGGCTGGGGACAGGCACCCTGCGTTTAAAACCGCTCGGAGCACTCAGGGAGATTGCTTTGTTTCTGGGGTTCTGCCGAGGATGGGGGACAGCCCCCTGCCTCTGAGCTGTGTGGCCTTGGACAAGTCAGTTGCCGGATTGCTGGTCCGTAGCGCCGGTGACAGTGGAATGCCAAATTCCGTGTGGCCGCTACTGGACCTGACCCTCCGTGAAGAACCAGGGCCAGACTCCCACCCCCAACCTCGCCCCAGTGCTGCCCCTGAGCCAGGGACCAGTCCTGGGCACTGGCAGGTGCGCTTTCCAGTCCACAGCCCCGCCAAGGCGCGGGTCTGGGTCCGGGTCCGGATGGATGGTGGAGTGTGCTTCCCACAAGGAGAGCGCCCAGCGCAGGGGTCCAACCAACCTGCACTCGGGGCGCTCAGTGAAGTGGCGGGGGGAGGAGGCGCCTGCGGACTCCAGCACCAGTGCCAGACCGCGTTAAATTCAGTTTCATCATCACTTCTGGCAAAGCCTGCGGAGCGTGCCGCGCGCTGCCGTGAGTGACAAGCCCTCTGCAGCCAGGCCCCATGGGGATGAGCCCATGGGCGCCGTGCCCTCTGGAAGGCGCAGTCCTGCCCCGGGCGGGAGAATGTGATCATACTTTGTGCCACTGTGTGAAATACAGTGAGTGAGGTGAAATGTGTGGGTACACACTTACTCTCCCCAGACGGGCTGTGGGCCAAGATGTGGCCTCTGGGCCACTCTGCCTTTGTTTCTCTCTGTTCTCCTAAATTGCCCTGGCTGATGGTCCAGAGGGAGGTGGGTGCTGCTGGTGTTGGCTTGGGGCCCCTGGCTCCTGCCACACGTCCCTGCTCTGCCCAGGTGGCCCAGAAATTTGTCTTCAGCTGAAAGCGACTCTCCCAGTGCACGGGAAATTACAAAGGGCTGCGTTTCTGGCTCCTATAATTAAACGAGCAGGAAGGAGCTAAAGTTGGGCTGTGGGTGCCTGGACGTGGCCAGTGAGAGGCAGAGGAGTGGTTACCCTCCCACCTCCACCCCACCCCACCCTGGTTCTGGGCCCTGGGAATGAACATGCCGGGTGCCGGAAGCGCACGCCTGGTTTTGCCTGGGGGAGAGAAGATTCCTCCCTGCCCCGGCTGGCCTGGGTGCAGTCAGGGTGGACCCCGTGCCTGGCCACTTCCACAGACCCAGGAATGAGTTGGATGGGGAAAGGTGCTGTCTGCAAGGTTGGTTTGTGATCACTCCAGGAGCACCTGAGACTGTTCCAAACCCAGCCGTCCCTCCCACCTCTCAGAGCACTGCCCGTGTGGAAGACTCAGCCGGCTCAGTAAGAACTCTTTGGAAGCCTCACTGCCTTTTTACACCCAGGAGACTTTGTGAATCCTACGAGACATAGGCGTATCAGACTAGCCTTGGTTTGCAGGTGAGCGCCTGGAAGTGAAACAAGGGGGGACGGCCGTTCGCCTGCACAGGGCAAGCGTGTGTCAGCGCCGGCAGTGTGCCCCTGCCTGCTGTCTCCTGCCGTGTCCTCTGGCCGTGTCTCTTCCCCCTCTTGGAAGGGGCAGCTAGTGTGAGTCGCTGCCGAGTCAGAGCCCTGCTTTCTCCGGGATCCGTGCGCTCCGGCTGGCTTCACTGTTTTTCTTTCTATCACACAACGGATTACCTGATGCAGTTCACCCTCTGGGTTATTCGCCTTTCTTGTTGTTCATCTTTCTTGAATTAAGAAAGGCTCTGGGCCTTTCTCGATGGAAAAAATGCACGTCCCCAGGCACAAGATAAGATTGCATCCTCTTACTCCTCTGTATCTCATTCCAGATAATACAACGGAAGTTTGGAAGCATCAAATGTCATTATTAACAGATGACATAACTACGCAGATGATCTGAGTGTAGCTAGAGAGTGAGAATTGGAACAAGGAAGAGAGATGAGTTAGTGGATTACTTGGCCACCCGTAGCTACCTGTACAGCAGCAACATCCGAGGGAATAAAAGATGTTATAATCCATCCTAGCATAAAAGCTCTGAGATACTTTGGAATAAATCTGAAAACACTGAAATGTGTGTGGAGAAGATTTTGAGATTTTTTTAAAGGGAGGATTGAAAGGAGGAAGTCTGGAAAATGGAGAGAGATATTATGTTCAAGAATATAATCATTACTTACTGTGTGAATTCAATGGAATTCAGTTGCAGGATTTTATGTGGAATATAAAATTGCACAAATGAATTTTAGAATTTGCAAGGAGGAGTAAGGTTCAAGAGTAAGGTTCAAGAATAATGTCTGGGCAGGTCTAAAAAAGAAGAGAGGTGCCGCGGCTCACTTGGCTAATCCTCCGCCTGTGGCGCTGGCACCCCGGGTTCTAGTCCCAGTTGCTCCTCTTCCAGTCCAGCTCTCTGCTGTGGCCTGGGAGGGCAGTGGAGGATGGTCCAAGTGCTTGGATCCCTGCACCCACATGGGAGACCAGGAGAAGCACCTGGCTCCTGGCTTCGGATTGGCGCAGCGCCGGCCATGGCAGCCATTAGGGGAGTGAACCAATGGAAGGAAGACCTTTCTCTCTCACACTGTCTATAACTCTCTCTCTCACTGTCTAACTTTGCCTGTCAAAAAAAAAAAAAAAAAAAAAAAGAGGAGAGGTGGGTGTTGGGCGTAGGGGTTACGATGCTACTTGTGATGGCTGTGTCCGTGTCTGGGCTCTGCCTCTGCGCTACTTTCCTGCTGATGTAGGCTCTGGGAGGCAGCAGGTGATGGCTCAAGTCATTGAGTCTCTGTCACCCACGGGAGAGACCTGGATGGAGCTCCTGGGACCTGGCTTTGGCCTGGCCCAGCCCCAGTTGTTGTAAGCATGTGGGGAGTAAACCAGCAGATCGGAGCTCTCTGTCTCTCTGCCTTGGAAATAAATACAGAAATAGGAATGAAGTTGTGGTCACAGTCACTGGGCACGGGCCCAGTCTAGTCCTCAGGGGACTTGATGCCCGCCCAAGCGTGAATGGGGACGCCTGGGCAGAATCATTGCAGATGGACGGGGGAGGGTAGACTGCTTAATAAGTTGTACTGGGAGAATGAACTGTTCGCAGTAAATTCCAGCGAGGGTTAAATCTCCGTGTGGGATACCTTTATGACATTAGGAAAGAAAAGGTACCAGAGGAAACAAATAAACAAAGGAAACAATTGATGCTTTTAGAAGTTTTATATAAACAAAGGTATTGTAACAAAGTTAAAAAGCAAGAAATAGGGGCTGGCGCTGTGGTGTAGCAGGTTAAGCCACTGCCTGCAGTGCCAGCATCCCATCTGAGCACCAGTTCCAGTCCCAGCTGCTCCGCTTCCATTCTAGCTCCCTGCTAATGCACCTGGGGAAGAAGTGGAAGATGGCTGAAGTGCTTGGGTCCCTGCACCCACATGGGAGACCCAAGCTCCTGGCTTTGGCCTGGCCCAATCCCGGCTGTTGTGGCTCTTTGGGGAGTAAACCAGTGGATGGAACATCTCTCTCCCTCTCTCTCCTTCTCTCTCCTTCTCTCTCCTCCTCTCTCCTTCTCTCTTTTTCTCTCTCCCTCTCCCCCTCCCTTACCTCTCTCCTTCTCCCGCTTTCTGTCTTTCAAATAAACAAATCTGTATTAAAAAGTAATACTGAAGAAAGATTTGTACAGATTAGTATATAGATTATTTTAAAAACTATATATCATTAAGAAAAATATAAATGCCTGGTAGAAAAATGGAGAAGTATATGGGTGGGGAGTTTAGTGAAGAGGAAACCCTGAGAGGTGACAGCGAGCTGCCCTGGGAGTTGGTGGGGCAGCCACCTCGGCCCCAGCGAGTCTCCTGCACACCTCTGAGGGGGGAATGAGAGGCAGAGACTGGGAGGAGAACTTGAACTGCACTGTTCTTATTCACAACAGACACACGTACAGGGAGGCCAGAACTTTCATGGACTGTGGAATTAAAAGGTGAGCTAATTTTGGGGTGAAAAATTTGAAGTCCGTGCCTACGAGGGCTCTTCAAAAAGGTCACGAAACACATACACAGTGGGAGAACTGCCCGTGGACTTCGGGAGTTTTCTTTGCTCCAAAATGAATGTACCCTTTAATTCTGTGTCCCGTGGACTTTCGGAAGCCCCTCGTGTGTTGGTGTGTATATCAGCCCTCCTTATCCGCGGGTTCCCCAGCCTCCCCTTCAGCCAACCATAGATCAGAAACGTTAAAAAATAAAATGCGGCAGGACTGAAAATACACAGACGCTTTCTTGTGGCTCTTCCTGAACAGCCCGGCGTTAACAGCTGTTGACACAGCCTTTTCACTGGACCAGGTCTTACAGATCATCTCGAGGAGGTTTGAAGTGTGTGCATACGTTCTATGCAAATACTGCACCATTTTAATAGGAGGCTTGATCACCCCCGGGTCTTGGTATCTGCGTTGTTTCTCTCAGATTCCAAGGAACAACTATATATGTATTCCTATATGAATATGAATATATGTAGAGTATATATAAGATTATATTTAGGCACTGTG